TGCGGTCAGCCCGCCGCCGCACCCAGTCGTGATGTGTCCCCCACCCCTTGTGGCACTTCCAGGAGGGCCGGCGAGCTGGTGTGCCGGAACCCTGATACGCAGGCAACCATCGCAGACCCTCAGTTGGCCGCTTGTTCCACCTCTGGCAACTAGTGTGACGACTCCTGCTGATGGAGGCGATTTGGCGTTGGAAGGAGGCGGTACCCCACCTCGGCCCCTCCCCCCGGCTTGACCCCGTCGCTGCTCGGCAGGTGCCCATTACCCATGTCCGCAAGAGAAGTCGGCTCCTCGCACAGGATCACGACGGTTCTCAAGAGCCGCTGGAACCGCCAAAAGCCAAGCCGAGAGGGCCAAGCGAACCCAGCACCACTCGCGATCCCAGCACCTCAGCCAATACGCTCCCAATGCAGGGCAAAACAACATCGGTCTGTGAGCTCATGTGGCGTGCACTCCAAGCAGAACATCACTTTGGGAAGAATGTCAAGCCAAGACCCGACATGAGCCTGCGTGACTCGAATCATCTCACGACGCATTGCCAGCAGCTTCGTGCAACAGAACCTATGAAGAGTTGTTTAAATGGCTTACCACACCAGCTGCAGGATTCGGACGCGTTGATAAAATCGCAGACACCCTTCTTCATCTGCCTGAGACTTTCCCGGCGTCTTATCTGAAGGTCTACGACCCCATCATTGCGCAATGCCTTCGGTTGTCGGAAGCGCTGCAACATGTTGACACTTGCGAATATGTTGGCATGCCCGGTTCCGCAGTTGGAAAAAGCAAGACTCTCGGAGTCCCTGGTGGGGTATGGTTTCCTGACCACTGCCCAGTATATTGCGGATCTTTTCTTCGCGGTGGCGGATATGCCGAGCGTCATCAACGCCAGCTTTCCAGCCATGATGTGCTACTCTGACCCGGATGATTGGCTGGGTGCGCTCCTGCTCGCATTTGAATCCCACCAAAAAGGCCCTCTGGAGCGCACTGCCGGACTGCTCATTGTTGTGGGCTTTCCCGAATCCGACCACAGGATTACTGACCTCCAGGTCAACGTGCCGCCAGCGGCCATGGTGGCTTTCCTTGCCGGCCGCGCTTATCGGCTGCGTACATGCCCTACAACCAAGTACACGGTGGACCCGAGTGGCGGACTCCCTCAGGTCAGTGGGCAGGTGTCCCAGGAGGCCTTGCAGGCATGGGCGGCGGCCGCCAAACACACGGATATGGAAGCGGCCCGGCTCGCACAGCAGCCTAGCCTGAACGCGTTCCTTGGAATTTCGCTGTAGGGCTCACAAACGCTTGGACAGCGCCAATACCAAGAGTTTAAGCCGAAGTTGCCCCCTGCCCATTTTCTTGAATCAGGCTCGCCCTCGCAGCCTCGGTGGCCAATCAGAACATTGAGCAATTTTGGTTCGTCTATAACTTGGAATGGCCCGACACCACTGCTCGGATGGCTGTTTTCCTTCGGCGTGTGCTGCCCTTGGAAAGCCTACCTGCCTCGCCCCGTATCGAAACCGCGGGTGTGAACGAGGTCCAAACCTCGCCGGATGTGTACAGTGTCTCTTCCGGCACGGAACCTGTGTCTCCCACATCGATGGAGGACCTGGCAGAGGAAGCGGACGAATCAGAGGCGCAGTGCACGATTGGCGTTTCTCTGAACTGCGAACTACTGACCGACCGGCGAGAAGTGGACGTCGCTGCTCCTTTTCGGCTGCCGGTCATTGACGATGAGCATTGGAAAGGGCTCAGCACAACACCTAATAGGCACGGACCCCAGCGTTCCAGGAATGCGTGGTGTGATGCTGCCATTGCTCATTGGGCTGCCCTCAAGGGGCCTCGCAAGATCCAAGCATCCAACTAAGCAGCAACTCAACAGCTTCTGGTTCAAGCTGTGCTGCCATGGCACTCCCAAGGAGCCCGAGCCCTCGGCCCTCGCGGCCGCGCTTACCACCTTCCCCTTTCAGTATCGGGACGAAGGTGTGGTGCAATATCGGCAAATACAGGATGCCATCCGGACGATGTGGAGGCAGCACAAGCCTCAATGAAACGGCACATAGGGGGCTCCATCCCAACTGGCATCCCTAAGTGGGGGTTAGCGAGGAGGAGTTGCCACAAGTATCAGGAGGACGGGCCCATACTGTCTCTGCAGGCCACCGCCCACGACGCCCTGACTGGGAAGGCCCTTGGCAATAATCCCTCACACCTGCCTGATTGCATGGGTGGGACCACTGGATTGTATTATCTGAATCGGTAGCTGTCGCTACTCAATGGCTTCCGTAATGGGAGCTTCCAGGGAGCCTGCTGCTCTTGGCGGCTCGCGGCTGCCCCACTGGCTGGCCACCACGGGGAACCCTGGGCTGGTCTGCAGTGCTCACTTGTAAGTTGTAAGTCCCCAGTGGTTGACCACCATGGGGCGCACGGACGCTTGTAATAGGAAGTTTCCATGGCACCCCAACCTGCCTCGGCGACTGTGGTGAGGTGTACAACTTCAAGGTGCCTGAGCCCTCGGCCCTTGTAGTTGACCCTGCCGTTTCCTCTTGCCTTGTGGAAGTAAGGATTCGTGCAACATTGGCAAACCCTGAGGTCCACTGCTCCGCTCTGTGCAAGGACTGGCGTTTCCCCCAGTAGAACCGGTCGCTACTGACGCGCATTGACCTCCCTTCTGGCTGGTTGATGTAACTTGTCGGGACGGGAACACCCTTCTGGGTGGGCGATGCGGTGAGCCTAGTGGAGTGAGTGCCTCTCGCCCGGGGCTGTACCACTGGCTGGCCCCCATGGAGTACTCTGGGCTGGTCTTGCCTTGATTGTTCATCGGTTATGTCCAAGGTAAGACTGCCCAGTCTTCCTCTCCTCCGCCCCTCTTTGACCGGATAGGTTGCCCTTTCTGTGCTATGGCACTGCAAAAACCCCTCGGCTTTGAGACCCAGCAGCCGCCCACACTGGTTGCCCCACCGCTCATCACGGGACGAGACAACGCTTGGCTCATAGTGAGTCATGGCAATGCGATCCTCCCCTTTGTGGTATCTCGGCCGAAGGACGACTCTGGAGAGGCCAGTGGTGCCGCTTCTCCCAGGTTGCGGGCACTTATGTCTGAAGAATATACACCCACTGGAGTAACCTGGCCTTCAAAAGGGCCATCGTCGCCTATGCTTGGCCTGTGGCAGGGCAGGCTGGCTCTCCGCTCGCCTGGATGCTACCTGACGGCGCCACCTAAACGAACGCTGTGTATACCATGGAGATCTTGGGCTCTTGCAGGCTGCCAAAAGTGATGTGAGCCCTCGCATCTCCTTGCCGACGTACCTTATTGGCTTTGGCTCTGGAGGGACCACTGCTTACCAAAGTGCAGTCTCCGAGACCCCGGCGAGCTTTCGGGCTTGCGTGTGTGGCCTCCCCTCTGGCTGTCTGTTGAGACATTGCTTGCGCGCGGACATCTTTCCAGGTGGGCGCAGCTGCAAGCCAGGGTGAGCGGGGGACCTTTCGCTCGGGGCTGCTCCACTGGCTGACCACCATGGAGTGCCCTGGGCTGGTCTTGCCTCGATTGTTCTTGCTGTTAAGTCCCCACTGGCTGATTGGGGAGTTTGACCTGTCACACCCCTTTGCCACTGCGGGTTTGTTATCTGTCCTGGACGACGGGTACGGGATCCTGACGGCCGAATATCGACTCTGGAGAGACCAATGCGGCGGTGCTGCCTCTCCCAGGCTGCGGGCACTTCTACGTGGAGAATAGGCACCTACTGCCCTGGCCTGGAGATATCGAACACCTGTGGAGTAACTTGGCCTTCAAAAGGGTCATCATCGTCTGTGCTTGGCTTGTGGCAGGACAGGCAGAATCTTCGCCCGCCTGGATGCTACCTGACGGCATCCTGGACGAAAGCTGTGTATACCACGGAGATCTTAGCTCTCTTGCAGGCTGCCAAGTGATGTGAGCCCTCACATCTCCCTGCCGACGTATCTTATTGGCTTGGACTCTGGAGGGACCATTGCCTGCCAGATTGCGGTCCCCGAAACCCCGGCGAGCTTTCGGGCTTGCGTGTGTGGCCTCCGCTTTGGCTGTCTGCTGAGACTGTGCTTGTGCGCGGACATCTATCTAGGTGGGCGCAGCTGCAAGCCAGGGTGAGAGGTGAACCTTCCGCTCGGGGCTGCTCCACTGGCTGACCACCATGGAGTGCCCTGGGCCGGTCTTGCCTTGATTGTTCTTTCTGTTAAGTCCCCACTGGCTGACCACCATGGGGCATACGCACGTCTTTCCTCTCCTTTGGGGAGTCTGACCTGTACCATCCCTTTGCCAATGCGGGTCCGTGATTTGTCCTTGACGACGAGCACGGGTGCCTGACTATCGATGATGACCTTGGTTCGAGCCGAATGACGTCGCACCAGTAGCTACATGATGGTGATTTTGAAAATCTGGCAGTGTCGCAATTTGCGACTCCCCGCATGCTCAGTGCTGTATGATTGCACCGGGACTTCAACGACGACTTCGAGTACTGAGTGCGTGGGGTTTCCTAGTAGTTCGGCGCCTTTGCTTGCTTTGTTGCTTCTGTTTTCTTGTTTTTTGGGTGGTTGCGTGGTGTTCTTGGTGGTTTGCGCGCGCTGACTTCGTTTCACCCGTTACGTCGAGCCCAACAAGACCGGCCTACTGTGCTACTGATGTAGTAAAGGGGCGCCAGTCCAAAAAAAACGAGGTGTTGGCAAGTTTAAGGTTTGGGGCTTGTAGGGTTCAGCTTGTTTTAGGGTTCAGGTCCCTGTGCTTACAAGGTTTAAGCGCTTGAGCACTGACAGGGACCACTTTTGGTTGTAAGTAACTTGTAGTTTACAGCGTTTTTAACATATGTCGGATCTGTCGAATCGATCGTCCGCATCGGCTGCGTTGTTGCTGCCCATAGAGACCTGGGCCATAGACCACATTCGACACTGCTCCTGCACGGAACTTATGAGTGTGCATGTCGGGTTTTTGCTGAGGCGTTCCAGAAAAGTCCTCCTTTATAGCTGTGCCCTTGTGCCCCTGCCCCATGACTGCCGCTGACATTGAGCGCCGCTGCAACGACCTCATTGCTGCGTGGAAAGACCAGAAGCTGACCTTTGCAGAGTACAAGTACTGCGGCTGTTGAGTCGTATGCTTGCACTTTTTTTGGTTGTTTTGCGGCTTCTATTCTGTAGTTGATAACGATCAAGAATAAAGTGCAATCAACAAAAAAGAAATACAAGAAAAATGGACAAACTATATATATGTAAAAATATATATATATATATATATATATATAGATGTGTTTGTTTTCAAGGGGGTTCCTGAACAGTCAAGAGGTACCGCGGCGAGATCACCCTGGACGTGGAGCACGCGGAGGCCTCGAGGAAGGGCTTCCAGGAGGCGGCGGGTGCCGTGAGCTCGATGCTCTCATCGCCGGACAGTTCCCCCATGCGCGACACTTGCTGGTTCTTAGTAAGGAAAAAATGTATATTTTTGTTTACTATTTCTCTTGGTTTTTGTATTAACATTTTTTATCGGTATATATTTATGTGGTAGTTGGTTCCCGAATTCCGTACTAAGAACCAGTAAGGAAACGCTCGCTGGCTTCCTGAAGCAGCTGAAGGGCGTCAGCGAGACGCTTGGTCTATGGATCGAGGTGCAAACTGCCTGGGTGCCGTTGGAGGACTTGGGACTGGGTGGTCGTTTGGGATATTTGGGTTTAGGGTCTGTAATGTGCCCTTTGTGGGTGAATATAGGGGACCTGTCTATACATCTTTTTGGGGGACCGTAGAACTCCCACCCGGAGGAGGCCTTCTCCAAGGGTGACATCGCGAGGCAGCTGCCAGAGGAGGCGAAGTGCTTTGTGGGCGTCGACAAGGCGTGGACAAACATCATGACCGAGGCCAAAGCGCAGCCCAACATTCTCGAGTTCTGCGGGAGCGAGCTGCTGCAGACCCTGCCGGCCCTGAAGGAGCAGCTCGCTGAGTGCCAGAGGAAGCTTTCAGCGCACCTCGCGGCAACGCCCCACTGACGCGAGTCGAGCGGCAATGCGTCCCAATGTGGAGGACTGGCTGCATGGCCATCTGCTTCCCTTGAAAACTGAACTTTGGGATCATATACCCAAAATACTCGTACTCGTATTCCTACCAGCAGTACTTTTACTATGGCATATGGGTAGTTGTCAACATTCAAGGTCCCTCTAGAGGTCTCAACAATATAGGGGTCCGTCCTAATAGCCTAGACCTTAAAAACTAAACACCCAAAATCCTAACGCCCAAGCCCGTGTATTTGTAGGTTTCCAAAATGGCATGAATCCCTTCTAAAAAGGACCTCAGGGTTTAAGGGTTTAGGGGTTTAAGGTGGTAATTGCCCCCTATCGGAAGACCCCATATCTTTGAGGACTACCCGTATGTACCTTCTGTTTCACCGCGCCTTGAGCCGGGAATCGGCGAAAGAGATGCTGTTGGGACCCCACACCTGAGAGGGTGTTGAGGGTTTTAGGGTTTAGGGTTTAGGGTTTAGGATTTAGGGCCTACACCCTGAACCCTAAACCTCTTCGGTTTGAGGTTTAGGGTTGTAAACTTAAGCCCTAAACCATTAGGGTTTCAAGGTTTCGGGCTTTGGGTTGAGGATCCAAACCGAGAGTCGGGAGTCAACACAAGACCTTGAACCCTTGAACCCACCCCCCTAAACTCAAGAGTAGGGCTTAGGGTTTAGGGTTTAGGGTTTCAGGTTTAGGGTTTAGGGTTTAGGGTTCAGGGTTCAGGGTTTAGGGTTTAGGGCTTAGCGTGCGGCCGTTGAGAGTGAACCGCGATTGTCCAAAAACTATCATGCGAGCACTTCTTGCTTTCAGCCTGGTAGAAGTATCGTTTGTGTTAGGCATCGTTTTTCTCCCATGTTGCTGGGGTGTTGTCTTAGATAGACTAATAATTCTAGGCATGCCTGCTTTTGAGGATGGATATATATCCAGAGCCATGTGCTTTAGGCTTTGGGCTTTGTCATCCGAGCTTGCGTGTCGTCGCCTTGACGATGGATGGCTCAGCTGGATGTGAAGCGTTTTATGCTTCATCACCTTCGTTGGGTGGTGCCAGGCTGCGGTACTCTGGTGTCCTTGTTGTATTGCACGGGGCTACGAACTCTGAACGTGCGGTATGGAAGTGGCCAGAAGTATGAGTCAAGTTTCTTCCCCAAAAAGCCGAGAGTTCCCTTTAATGAAACAGAAGCATCTGCCATGGGGCCTGCAATTTTTCATAGCGCCTTTGTAGTCTGAAGCTATGGCCCCTAAGTCAATGGACCTTGAACGGGTCCAAGTGCTAGGTAAACTCTGAACCCTAAACCCTAAACCCTAAACCCTAAACCCTAAACCCTAAACCCTAAACCCTAAACCCCAAACCCCAAACCCTAAACCCTAAACCCACAAACTTGCGAACCCGACACCGGAACCTGCATGAAATGGCACAGTGGCACTGATGGCGGCGCGGACGAGTGATCTGGAAGCGCCGCTGTTGGCAGGCCCATGGTGCAGGGTTTAGGGGTTAGGCTTTAGGGCTTAGGGGTGGGTTCAGGGTGCAGGTCAAGGGCAGACTGCGACAAAGCGCACGTCAAGTCCTGAAGCCTCAAACTCCCGCAGCTGGAAGCTGACCCCCTCATGTATGCCCTACATGCGAGCCTTGAAACCCAAACCACCCTAAACCTTTAGACTCTAACCCTAAGCACCATGAACCTTCTAAACCCCCAAACTCTAAAGCAAAAACCCTAAATCCCTTAAACCGCCTAAATCCCCTAAACCTTTCCTTCACCTATACATTAACCCGAATGAATTAGCAGGCGGGGGCACTACCGAAAAAATAGCAGGAATTGCCGTGCAAATCCCGCGGGCATGGTCAACATTGTCCGCATGGGCATTGATCACAGGGTGGGGGGAAAGGTGCATTGGTAACAAGTCCCGCAGGCATGGGTCAAAATCCCGTGTTCTTGAGTCAAAGTTTTCCGTGGGCACTGGTCAGCAAAATTTCGTCGGCCTTGCGCTTTAGGGTTCAGGCCTTGCAGGGCTTCGGTAGGGCTCCGGGCCTGCCTTGGGCCTTGGGCTTTAGGATGTTAGGATCCTGCTGGGCCTCAGACTTCAAGGTTTAGGGCTTACTGGGCTTAAAAGACCCCTTTAGGGTCTAGGGTGTTGGGCGTCTCAACGTTGTGCCGCTTGCCAGACCATCAGCCATTCGGCCAATGCCCGGTGTGCAACAGCCTTCACTCTGCACCTGCCAGAAAGGAACGCAGCATGACCTGAAGCATTCTTTGCTTGTAGGCTCGTTCCCGCATTGCCCTCAGAAGCAGGGATTCGTCGGGTTTTCGCCGCCCTCACAAGTAGCGGTAGGCTCGTTCCGAACGAAGCTTGGCTGGCTTTTTGTTCAGGGTCGTTCCATTCTACTTACAGCGCGGACCCAGATTGTTTTTAACGCTTTGGGGGTTGTTTAACGTTAAAAAATCCCAGATGCAAGCTGGCTTGAGGATTTCTATGTCAAGCGACATGGTCTCGTAAATGCTGTGGGACCCAATGGGCGGGTGGGCAGGCCTCCGTAGCTTGCAAAGCTGTTTGCGTAGTGAATGCTTGATTGAACCCTGAACCCTACATCCTAAAGCCTAAACCCCAAACCCCAAACCCTAAACCCTAAACCCTGAACCCTAAACCCTAACCCTAAACCCTACACTTCACACATATATTTAAACCCTCAACCCTCTTCGTGGGAATTGTGCACAACAATCTTTGAGCAGTGCTTGGGCGGTCTTGCAGTGGGCATGTCTGCGCGCTGTTGCGCCCGAAGCCCGAAACCCTAAACCCGAAACCCGAAACCCTAAACCCTAAACCCTAAGCCCTAAATCCTAAACCCTAAACCCTAAACCCTAAACCCATAAACCCTAAACCCTAAACCTTAAGATCCCTATCAGTCCGTAGGGGCGCACAGCCCAATCCCGCACCCCCGCGCAGATCCCGGAGAGCTGGATCCGGTGGCTTGGACTCGATGCTGGCTGAGAGGGCTCTTTTGAGGGTTTGGGGGGTTTAGAGTTTGGGGTTTGGGGGTTGGGGCTTAGGGTTTAGGGTTTAGGGTTTGGGGGTTTAGGGTGTTGGGGGTTTTGAGGGTTTGGCGTCTAGGGTTGAGGGTTTGAGGCTTTGGGGTTTGGCCTCCTGTGTTTGAGGGTTCACGTTCGTGTCGGATCTGGGATTTCTGGCGCTGGTGGTTTGGAGCTAAACCCTACACCCTAAACTGCCCTAAACCCAACATCCTAGACCCTAAACGCTAAATCCTCAGTCCTAAGCCCTGCACCCTAAACTGGTGTTCAGGTTCCATGCGTCAATCCTGAACCCCAAACCCATAAACCCCAAACCCTAAAACCTAAAGACCCAGATCCCAAACCTAACAGTGCCCCCCCATCAGACTCAAGCTGGCTGCCCCTAGGAATGTCCCTGGCTTCTAGCATGGAGCTCTGCTACGTACCTTCTCCCCTGTCCAAGGGCCCACATGGTGAGTTCTCTAAACTTGGGTTCCGCTCTAGTATCCGGGCAGCCTTAGAGTAAGGACCCCAAAAGGTCCCCGACGCTGGGTTGGGGGGGGGTTGGGGCTTTAGGGGTTTAGGTGTTGGGGGATGGTGGGGTTGAAAGGGTTTGGCCTTTGGGGGTAAGGGTTTGTGGGTGTGAGCGCAGTAGACTAAGGCCCTCGACCTTTCAAGTGGGTCACTGCAACGCTCAACCTCGAAACTGCAAGCCCGAAGCCCCAAGCCTTCCCAAAACACATCCCAAACCATCCAAGCCCTCAACCTGTAAGCCCCTCCCTCACCCTCCCTAAAGCCTCACACCTGAAACCCGAAATCCCAAGCCCTCCGAGGCACCTGGAGCGGAGGATGGCCTTGGCCAACAGCTCAGAGAGGGCCACAGGTTTACAGGGTTCAGAGGTGAGGTTGGGGATTTAGGGTTTTGGGGTCTCGGGCTTAAGAGGGCTGAAGAGGAGCCATCCTCCGACCACGTCTAAGCTCGCAGGGGTCTCGAAGCAGCATGATGGGCCCCCTTGTTCGGACATGTTGATCCCGGCCCTCATGTCCCTAAACCCCAAACCCTAAACCCTAAACCCCAAACCCCAAACCCGAAACCCTAAACCCTAAACCCTAAACCCTGATAGTCGTCCTTGGAGAGACTACAAAAAGGGGGGGTGAGGCTCAAGGGTCGATGGGCCTTCGGTGCGCGACAACCTTGCATCGCACCTGAGAGTCTCCTTTAGGGTTTAGGGTGTTTAGGGTTTAGGGTTTAGGGTTTGGGTTTAGGTCCCTGTCAGGCCCTCAGTCCTGGCCCCTGCCTACCCCCCCTCCCTCTCACACACACGCACAGCATGACCCGAACCACCCAGTCCGTAAACCGTAAGTTTTCAGCCCCGAAACCCGAAATCGAAACCCCGAACGCCCAAGCACTCTTAGCCTTCGACTCCGAAAGAGTCAAGCCCCCACACCCCAAACCCTAAACCCCAAACCCCAAAGGCCCCAAACCCCAAACCCCAAACCCCAAACCCTAAACCCTAAACCCCAAACCCTAAACCCTAAACCCCAAACCCTAATCCCTAAACCACGCCCACCCAAGGCTCGCGGCCCATAGAGGTGGTCGCTATCAGCGGCGAGTGGTCGGCGGTGGAGAGCAGCCTGTATGCCGAATCCCCTAGCCCAACGAACCTGTGGGTGTGGGTTTAGGGTTTAGGGTTTAGGGTTTAGGGTTTGGGGTTTGGGGTTTGGGGTTTGGGGTTTGGGGTTTGGGGTTTGGGGTTTGGGGTTTGGGGTTTGGGGCTCATGGTTTGGGGCTGAGAGATTAGAGCTCCCAAACCCAAGACCTCAAAGCCTTCCCCAAAAAAGGATCCCTGCACCTTGAACCTTAAATCATGGGTTCCCCTACTATCCCACTCCATACTACCCCCCCCCCCCCTAGGTTCCCCCCTTAACTAACCTTCATTAAGTAGCATAGAGAGGGGTAGTAGGACAACCCATGATCGAAGCCTA